GGGGGAGAATTGGTCTAAAATCCTTGAAATGTTGTAAATAAACAGATTTTTCAATCGTCTTATTCCCACTTCACCAATAATAGAGGTCTTCCGTTTCCTGAAAACGTAATTCCCTATGATGGTACTTACCAGCACAAACGGAAGAATGCTCAGAGTTAAAATCGAAACTATTCTGAAATAAATTCCTCGAAGCTCTTTTTCTGCTAAAAAATAAATCATCACTGACTGGCATCCCTTGAGAAGGCCTTAATTTTGGAGAATGAAGGAAATCATTGGACGGGGAGAACTGTAAGAAAAAGAAAATGAAAAAAAACCATGTAAACATATGATTAATAAGCTCAATTTATTTTTCTTTATAAACTGAGGATCCACAGAACAAGACATCAGGAGGTGCTACTTCACAGTCAGGGTGGCTAGGATCTGGAACCATCTTCCAAGCGAAGTGGTGCTGGCTCCTACCCTGGGGGTCTTCAAAACGCTAGATAATCACCTGGCTGGGGTCATTGATCCCAGCATTCATTCCTGCCCATGGCAGGGGGTCGGACTTGTTGATCTGCTCAGATCCCTTCTGACCCTACCAACTATGAAATAGTGTAACTACTTGCACTAAGAACCCCCTCCTCAACCAGTAACGATCTGTAATATCTACCCCACTGCCAGGCATGTCACAAGATGTATGCAGAATTACTAGAACAAAATGTGGTGTCAGAAAACCAATAAAAGCCAGAGTTCGCATGCAGCCTACGTAGGGGCTAAGACCAACCAAGAAAAATCTTTCCCCCCTCCTCACCATGCTCAAAAGATACAAAGGAGAGAGAATATGTGATGGCACAAAGGAGTGACAGAAAGCAAATTCACAACTCCCAGCATCCACAGAAATGCACTTGGGATCATATGAATTCAAGTACTGACCACATCAAATGAAAAGGCAAACCCCTCCATGCTTCAACTCCCACACATCATTTTGGGGGTGAACAGGGGTCATACAGGCACTTACAGGAGGCTCAGGGAGTATCCTGCTGGTACAGGAACAGCCTAGGGCTAAGTGTGAACTGTGCTACAGGGATGTAATTGTGTGCACCAGGGACGGGAGGGGGCATCTCCATGGTGCAACCAGAAATTCTGGCTTCAGTACAAACTAGGGCAGCATCCAAGACAAGTTTTCTGATTAATACCCAGCCCACATACCAGAAATTGTGCTGCCTACAACACTGTAATACTGTTGCCAGAAAGTTAATAGCATAGGGAGATGTAATTAAAAGGAATATGGTTGCAAGTCACAGGAAGTAGTTTTTCCAGTGTTCTCAGCACTGGTAATGCCTCACCTGGAGCACCGTGTCCAGTTTAGATTCATAGATTGATTGTTAGGGACTGGAAAGGACCTTGTAGACCATCAGGTCCAGTCCCCCTGCACTAGGCAGGAAAAGACAACTGGGGTCAAGTGACCCCAGCAAGGTGACTTTTTAGTCTCCTTTTGAAGATTCCCCTGATGTTGCAGTAAGCTGCTACCAAGTCCCCTCTCAGCCTTCTCTTCTGTAAACTGAAGAGCCCCAAGTCTCTCAGCCTCTCCTCGTATGGCTTGTCTTGCAAGTCCCAGATCATACGGGTGGCTCTTCTCTGGACCCTCAAGTTTTTCCACGTCCTCGTTGAAGTGCGGCGCCCAGAACTGGACGCAGTACTCCAGCTGCGGTCTCACCAGTGCAGAGTACAGCGAGAGTACCACTTCTTTAGTTTGGCGTGAGATGCAAAGGTTAATGCAGGCCTGCGTGTTGTCTGCCCTGCTGGCCACAGCATCGCACTGCTGGCTCATGTTCACGCGATGGTCTATCACTACCCCAGGTCCCTTTCGGTCGTGGTGCAAGTCAAATTGTCTCCACTGAGCCTGTAGGTATGTTGGAGATTGTCTGCCCCCAGATGGAGCACCTTACACTTCTGAGTGTTGAACTTCACCTGCTTCCAGTCCGCCCAGCTCTCCAGCCTGTCCCGGTCCACCTGTATCTGCACCCTATCTTCTGGCATGACCATGCTCTCCCATAACTCAGTGTCCTCCACGAACTTGGCCAGTGAGCTTTTCACCCCCACATCCAAATCATCAATAAAGATGTTGAAAAGCACCGGTCCAAGCACGGACCCCCGAGGCCACTTCTCACCAAGACGACACAGATCCGTTCATGAGAACTCTCTGGGTCCTACCATGCAGACAGTTTGCCACCCACTCAACTGTTGAGCAGTTAAGCCCACAATCTTCCAATTTTTACACAAGGATATCATGGGATACTAAATCAAAAGCCTGTTAGAAGTCTAGGTATATAACATTGACCTTCTCTCCCGTGTCCAGGTGGCAAGAGACCTGTTCGTAGAAGGAGATGAGATTGGTAAGACAAGAGTGTCCATTACCAGCTGTCCCGAGGTGTTAAGCAGGGGTCCCACGTTTCCATTTGTTTTCTTTCTGCTCCCTACAGACCTAAAGAAGGACTTCTTATTGTCCTTGACTCCCTTGGCTAACAAACTCAGTCGCCGCCTTAGCTTTCCTAATCATTTCCCTATACAAGTGCGGCACTACGTTTCAAGAAAGATGTGGACAAACTGCAAAAAGTCCAGAGGAGAGCAACAAAAATGATTGGAGGTGGAGAAAACATGACTTATGAGGAAAGGTTAACATACGAGACTGGGATTTTTTAGTTTAAGAGAAGACTAAGTGAGAACTTGAGAACAGTCTTCAAACTTTAAAGGGGTAATGGTAAAGAGGGCAGCAGCTATGTCCACATGGTACAGGGCAAACAGTGGTAGTTTTTAATTACAACAAAGAAGCCTTCCATTAGACATGAGAAGGAAGTTTCTAACTATGAGAGTAGATGAGGTATAGAATAGATTACTTAAACTTGAGGAATCTCCATCACTGACATTTTTGGGTACAGGTTAGATGAACATTTGCCTGGGATGCTTTGGTCAGGGATGATCCTGTCTGAAGGACTAGACCTCCTGAGGTCCCTTCCACCCCATTTTTACTATTATTCTAGTCCACATTTCCTTCCTTAGAGAAATCTCAGCAGAGAGTCAAAGTTTCCATTTAGACAGACACTGAAACTATTAATTCAGCCTTTGAAGTGACAGCACCTTGTCAGGAATGTGCTATATTGCAGAGCAGATAGCATATGAAAATTTGCTTTTGTCACAACCCAAAGGGTGTGATTTTTGTTTTTGTGTGCTTCGGCACTGCTAAATTGTCCCAGCTAAATTGCAGCTTCCTTGCACAGTGGAGTTTTCTGCTGCAAAAGAGAACCCCGGTGCAAGGGAGAATTTCCTGCCAATTTGAAGCTTTCTTTGCAGGGTGCATTTCTTTGTTGCAGCACAGAAATGCTCGTTGCAAAGAGTTCCCGCCATTTGTATGCTAATTTGAGTCCCATTATTGGCCAGTTATAAATTATTCCCACGTGGCGGCTAGTGATTGGCTTGCTAGCCGTATAAGAGGCTTGAGTGGTTTCCGCCCAAGTTGGAGGACTCCACGAACAAGGGAGGAGGAGATCTTCATACTGTGTGAAGATCTCTAAGCGCTGCGGATCCTTACGGACCCAGTGCATTTAAAGCAGGCAACCGAGGTCTGATCAACCTGTAGCCTCTCCCCGTCGCCGAGCGCAGTCCAGACGTATCCTTTCCCGCGCGCAAAAGAACCGGACCCACGGAGCCTAGCAAACTTCATGTGGAGCAGAAGGACCCATGGAGCCTAGCAAACTTCGTGTGAATCCTTGACCGATCTCAGAGCTCTTCTACCCGAGTTCCTGCTTCCTCACCCAGACTGTCTCCTGGGATGCCACACTTCCTGGACACTTTGCATTCCCAGGAGGACTTGCTCCACATCTCACAGTCCATCATGACTTGGGAAAAGTCTATTCATCTACCTTCTGCCTTCCAAAACAATCTGCATGCCTTATTTGGTGGCTTGTGGCATGCAAGAAAACACAGTGGCTTCATTTCATAAATGAGGATTCTGAGGCAGAGGACTTAATAAAGGTTGTCAAAAATCAGAATAAGAAATGGGATTAAAACCCTGAAGTCCTGGTTCCCACTCCTATTCTCAGACTACTAGGGCACGCATTCCTTTCTAGCCATGCATGTTCTACCACGTACGTCAATTTGCTTAGGAGCATCGCTGGACACTGCAGCTTGAACATTTCTGTCTGTCCACATGGGAGGAGGTACATGTACAGCACAGCAAGAGCTAACATGGCAAAATCCAGAGGTGGGGCCAGTAACTATAGGAACACCAGGGTAATTCAGTGCTATGTGTCTAGATGGATTTCTTACAGATTGCAAGCATGATTTAAAGATAGTTGTAGGAGTCAGAAAGTGCTTATGTTACCAAGCGTACATCCGAGTTCGCTGCTGCGCTTGCTAGATAACACGGTCTGGAGAACCGAACTCTCAAGGCTTCAGCTCCCATTACGCAGTTTCCACTAGTGCCTGCTGCGGGAGGAAACCCTGGCTTCTGTATCCCATGCAAAAGACAGCAGGGATGTG